TTTGAACTATACATTTGGATGTCTTTAAAGGCAAAATTTTACTTAATTCCTAATAAAATGCAAGATGGCTTCTTTTATCAGACAAATAGCATTTTTCGCAACTGATTGAAACTAATCTTAGAGCTACTTGTCTTAATATACACGTTTTACTCCTCAACAGATGCTTAGGATTCGAAGAATTGATACTTAATCTGTGAATGATTTACTCTGCGTCTACCTTAAAACTTTTGAATCCAGCTCACCCAGTCATCGTTCAATAATATGCTAGTATATATCACACAGTTGTTCAATCCTGTATCCATATAATCAACTGTGCGTTTAATTAGGCAATTCCTCAAAGTCATCATGTCAAGCATCTTGAGACTACACAATTCAGGTTACCACTATACTAACAATTTTTTAAGCAATGGTTTAAATTCAGAGTGTAAAGACGACGATCTTTAATAGCATGCTTTTAATAAGCTCGACCGTTTAAAGAACTTTGAGAAATCATAAATCATGGATCTAAACAATCTCTTCTATAATATACAAGATGTAATTCTTTAAACTTCATTTTGCAACTATTGCGATATATGTTCATTTGGTAGTAAAACTAAAGGAGGAAATGAGAAAATCTTTTTAAAATTATCATACCTACAAATCCATTATACACTGACTATTTCCCGAAAGCATAGGGTCAGCGATTTACATTTATTAAACCCTGAGGCGGGATGTCACATCTTTTGAACTATAGCACAGTCAACACGAATTCAAAAATAATCTTCTGCACCTTATCTCCTATTTCTCATTCTCTGTGAAGTTTTGAGTTAGCTCATTTTCATGGTAGTACTGGTTCTTCATTCAGTAAACACAGTTTCACTTGAGTTTTTTAAAATTATGGAACAACTATCCGGAAAATCTGTCCAGGACGATTAATTTACAATATTGATACTTATTTAGATATTTCAACTAAATTTGTATTTATCATCCCCTTTAAACACCAAAGTTAAGTCAATCAACTGTTCTATAGGAGTTAGAACATTAGTGTATCGCGGTAGGCACTTTCAACAGGTTGAAGACTTTTACCAACAGTAGCCTTCACTGGCTTCTTGTTGAAGATTAAATGGACAAACCGTTTTGGCAACGAAAAAATCTGAGAACGAACTATTGAAGAATCTATTGCTTAGAAAATATGCCGAAGACAATGAAGATGAATCGGACACTATGAGGAGGGTAACGTCACATACCAGACCCAGTAGAACTCGATCCGGAGATGACGTGATGGACGTTTGAAGGTGACATGGAAGAGATCATGCGGGCAGATGAGAAGTTATGGGCATCCCTGGAGCGAGCCAAGAGGGAACCAGATGTATGAGATGATATTGTTTCATTGTGTGATATATGACAAATATAAACATGACTTTTAAAACCATTATATGAATTGTGACCAAAATAATTAGTTGTTTACTTTATAAAATAGTTCATGAAATGTACACGTCTCAAAGTGGTGTAGAAATATTAAGATTACTAAGCAATCAAAACATTACGCAACAAGGTGATAATTATACCAGGGCAACATCGCAAAAACTTTATACTGAGTTAAATAAATAAATAAGGCAAGTGAGATAATAACGGAAACTGATTAGAGTAAAATTAATGATAACAATCGATGTAATAATTAGAGGACATGCAAGTTGAGTAAACAGAACGAAAAATAAATAGGGTCAACGTGTGAATGGGGACTGTCATAATTTAGCATAGACGGATTAAGATCCTCTAATCATTGCGTATCTGACTCATCTGTATTCCTGAGGCTTTGAACATCGAAATAGAAAAGCCAGAACTTCTTTGTACACGGTAAAGTTTTTTCAATCACTCCTCTTTTATGATCTTAATCCGTCTATGCTAAATTATGATAGTCCCCATTCACACGTTGACCCTATTTATTTTCCGTTTTGTTTGCTCAACTTGCATGTCCTCTTATTATTACATCGATTGTTATCATTAATTTCACTCTAATCAGTGCCTTATTTACTTATTTAACTCAGTATAAAGTTTTTGCGATGTTGCCCTGGTATAATTATCACCTTGTTGCGTAATGTTTTGATTGCTTAATAATCTTAATATTATAAAGTACACAACCAATTATTTTTATGAATTGGTAGAATTTAGAATTCATGGGCCATTGGATTGGATCCCAGTGACTCAATGGTCTACGGGGTCGCCTTGTAACCAGGAGGTCCGGAGTTCAAACGCCGGTGGTCGCGTGCTGTTGAGGAGTCCCAAACTAGGACGAAACGGCTGTCTAGTAGTCCCAGGTTTTTAGTGGTTCTCTAACTAATGTCAGCTCATGATGAAATCCTACATGCAGTTATTTTTGTCACAATTCATTTTATTACTAAACAACCATAAAAATATATATACATAAATATGATTGTATTGATTGGTGATAAGTTGTTTGAAAAGAGATTCTTGGCTTAATCACTTGTTTTGATTTCCTATATGTCCCAAGTGAAAATTCGCCATACATATTTGAATTAGAAAATTTAGTGTCATACTAGACATCACCAAGTTTTTCACGTATTATAGTAGTAGGTTTGCCCTATTTAGTTTTATATATATATATATATATATATATATATATATATATATATATTTATTTATAGATTGTTCCCACACTTTTTTTTTGGTGTGTGTATGTATTTTTTGATGTATATAGCTCGCCCAAATTTCGCGCGCCACCCATATATATAGGGTGTGTGTGGGGGCGCGCGCGACCCGCGCCGTGTGTGTGGTGGGGAGAGACCCACCCACTCTCCGCACGCAATAGATTCACCACTATGTGCCACGAATAGACTTTTTGTGAAATTTTTTACCTGCTTATTTTGAAATAGTGTTTTTCAATCAAAATCTGATTTAATATCGTGTTACTAACATCGCTGTTTGTTGACTTCCCATTGAGACAAGACTGTTTCGTCTGTAATCTTCAATCTAATCAGTGTTATTATCAGTGATTTTGGTAATGTGAGACTGATGTCTGAATCTGTCTCAGTCTCATAAGCACTTTTATTGAGATTGTCAAGAAGGCAAAAATAGATTTAATACCTCCTGTTTTATTTTGTAAATCACTTTAAATCACGTAAGGTAATCAAAATACACCAGGTTTTAACGGCTGGTTGTTTATGTGTCATTTTATTGTGAGAATATTGTTGTTCTTTCTTCTCTATATAGAAAAGAATGTCAATGTCTGAAATTTGATAAGCTTTAAAGTACTTTGTAACTTGTTTGTATTACGTTATCTACAGGAAGTGCATTTATATTGTGCGTCGGTGGCACAGTGGTTAGGACTCTCGCCAACCATGCACATGGTCCGCGGTTCGAGCCCGCACCGATGCACACCTGATATCTATGGTCGGCCTGCAAAATTTGGGCTACCGATATCCATGCTGAAAATTCCATACTTGTACCGAAAATACAGTGTGGAATCAAGCTGTAAATAAAATATATATATATATTCTGTTAAATTTACATCTACTTTGTATTGATGTCAAAGACTGTAACAGTGACTTCAGAGAACTAAAACCGTTTGATTTATTACAGTGAGATCTTATCCATTGAGAAAATTCCATCAACCTTATATTTTATACTATATTGAATATGTACGGAGTAAAAGAGTAAATAGCTGGTGTTGTGGCTTTGCTAACAGTTTTATTATTCATGCATATACACTGATCTATAAATTCTAAATCTAGATGAACTTGCCGGTCTATTTATTCTGTGATAGTTCTAAGTTTCCTCACCACTAATAAATCTCATTGATTTTTTCTATCAAATGTCAATTTATTATGAATATGTGCCAAAATCTGCAACCAGTTAATATTATGTTTATTATTGATGTAAAAAATGTCATGCGGATATTGAGATCTATGCAAAACCACTGAAGTCGTGTAATCAAACTATAATTTTCCACTACTAGCTTTGTAGGGAATTTTATTTGGATTCGTTGGAGGACTTCATCATGAGCTGTCATCAGTTGGAGAACAATTGGAAAACCTGAGAGTACTGGATAGCTGTTTCATCCTAGTTTGGGACTCCTCACAGTGAGCACCCACCACCAGGGTTTGAACCTAGGACCCTCTGGTTACAAGGTGAGCTCGTAGACAATTCGGCCACTGGAACCCGATACAGTGGCCCATTAATTCTAACTTCTGACAATTCATGATATAGAGTGACCACTTCACAATATCTTCTTCGATGAGGTACTGCATCATCTTCAACCTGCTGCACCCTACTGGACACGGCTTCCTCCTGGTACCTCAGCTTGACTGCCTGAATAGTATGAGTCACTAGTTAGCATCGGATCGATTTTCAAGTATTGGTTTTTGTAGGGATTTTGTTTGACTGGTTAGAACCCCAGTAGGTGTGTGCTGATATAGAGTCCCAAACTAGGACGAAACAACTGTCCATTATTTCCATGTTTTCCAATGGTTCTCTATCTTATGTCAGCTCATGATGAAATCCACCAACTAAACTGTGATTTATTTGCCTTAAGCTTACAGTTAAATAATATGAATTTTCCTGTGACCCATCGGTGTCTAAACATCTCAATACTCAACAAACGTTTACAAAATCAAACTTTCAGTAGTTTGATAGGTTACAGTTAAGTGGTACCACACTAGTGCACAAGACACGTCTTTAATTTTCTTCTTTTGTCCCATTATTTTGACTCACGATAGTAGATGCATGACGCTTTGTTTCTCTTTCATCTAGTCAACTGGGTTGTAACCATCTGTAAGAAAATTATATCTGGAAAGTTATATACTATTGGTCAACTAACGTTTTCTGTTTCGTTGAATTTTAATTGGTCGATTTAGCAAATATCACAGTATGATCTAATAAAAAATGCTATAATGAAATTATTTATTGTCTGCTTTTAAATTAACTGTGACACAATGAGATATTCAGTAGACACAATAGATTTAAACATCATTTATTATTTCATGTTTTGATTTCATTTCAAAATGACAGATGTATGTCATTATTCAGAAAGCTTTGTAACGAAAGGTCTCAATTTCATTTTAACTAACAAGCAAATAACAGAGAAGCAGTCCCAGAACCATGAAGCATTTAAGAATCTATTAGAAAACCAAGACAATAACTCATACATACTACTGGATGAATATGTTGGTAGTTTAACAGAAAAATTAAAAGAATTACAAAAGTCAAAGCATTTATTTATATGTGACATAAGTAATATACTGTGGATATATCTACCACCAATAATCTTTATACTTGGTAGTCTAGGCAATGTCCTATCTTTTGTTATATTACGGCATCCATCAACTGGCTCAGTGACAACATTTGTTTATCTAATTGCACGTTCAATTGTTGATGAAATGGTTCTGATAGTTGGACTACTTCGTAGATGGATAGATAAACTGATTGACTCAGAACTGGCAAATACGTCAAACTTCATATGTAAAATGGTGCATTTTTGGGGTACATCGTCAAGTTTGTTATCTGTGTGGTTAACGGTTACCTTAACTGCAGAACGAGCACTAGTTGTCAGTTTTCCACTTCATGTTTCGCGTGTGATCAGTTACTCTAGAGTCAGGAACGTGATCATTATCATGAGTATTATATGTATAGCGTTAAGTTCGCATTTTTTCTTCACAGCAGGAATTATTTCAAACTGTACACTAGATTATCCACCAACATTATCCTCCACATGGAATAGAAGAAATCAAATGACATATTCAAACGAAACAAGTTCACTTCACTTTTTCAACTCACAAAACAAATGTTTGAATCACTGTGCATTTTTACCGAATTATGAGGCAATGAACTGGTACTGGTCAACATTCGATGCGATTGCCTACTCTTATTTACCATTTTGTCTTATATTTGGATTTAATTTTGTCATACTGAAATCCGTTTATCGTGCTAGTAAAGAAAGAAGCATTTTACACGGACATAAATGTAGGCACAAATATATGAATCGTCATAATCCATCGCCTACAGGCTCAGTGACAGCATCAACTTCATTTTCAGCGAGGAAACGTACACAGACAAATGAGCCAAATTATAATGTGAGGCAGCTAACAATTGTTCTGCTCATTATATCATTTGCATTTTTATTTACAACCGTTTCAATAGTTCTGATTAAAATTCTGGCACAAATTTTGGATTTACGTGGTACAAGTAAGAGAATTGAACGCACATATATGCTGTTAGCTGATACTATAGCAGAATTATTTATGTATATTAATCATGCAATGAATTTCTACTTGTTTTGTGCCACAGGAAAAACATTTCGTAAGCGTTTAGTACTATTGTTTAGTCGACGTAGACAAACAAAGATGAAGCGCATTGACAAAACTAGGAACAACAATAATCACTTTATATGTGCTTTTTCTTCATGTCTGTCAGTGCCAGGTGAGCGTTTTTACAGTAATGAAACGAACTACAGAAAAAGTCACAAAAACCAAACTGGAGTCATACATCTTGAAAATAGAAGTAACCAAAATTGTCCTGAAAATTTACTCACTCCTTCAGGTACAAAAATATACAATACATTAGAATTAATTAAGGTACCAGTTAATGAAAACAAAAGTACCACATGGGAGAGATTATCCTTTAAATTTTGCACATCGTTACGCAATAACTCTAGTAACACATCATTACAAAAGAATTACAATGATATAGAAAAATATAATTTAACAAGGATGCCTAAATCGAAGAGTTCGATTTCTACTGTAAATAATAATGAATTATCTCCAAATAATATTTACCGTGTGAGTATTGAGAAACACAATTGCAAGCACCAAAATAATGACGATAAACACCAGCGTCATTATCGTAGTGAAGAGTATACTCCAGAGAAATTAGGCAAACAGACAGAATTAATTTTATCATCTGAAGAATGTTTAAATACTGTATAAAGCTGACTTTAGAAGCTCAGATATCACACTGTTTATTTTGTAAGTATATTGAGTCTACTTTAAATTCTGATGCCCACACTAAACCAATACATTTTATGTAAATGTGTAATTATTTCACTTTCATTAGTAGACTATTGTATCAATTATACATTTGTTACTATTTATGAGCAAATTTTATAAATGTGTAATAAATGTAAAAATGATTTAGTCCTGATTGTAAATTAAATATTCATGAAAAATACTAGACATTTTTTGTGCTGAAATTTGCGTTTGATCATTAGATTATGGAAAATTTTTGGCGTTTACTTCGAAGAACCACTGTGAACCAAGAAATATCTCTACATCTGTTTTTTTAGTGTTATAATAGCAACACATCCATATTTCCGATGGTGCTTAGTTGAGGGACAGTCGAGTTAAGGAAACATGAACCTCAAGATTCAACTAATGAAGTGAAACTCAACTATTCATGATTTCTGGCTGCTTCCAGTCATAAAATATGTACGATGACCATTTCTGTAATCAGTGAATGTGTCGTCTAGCATTTCACCTAGCAGTCCACATAACCAGGATCGCAGTACTGAGTTCTCAAGTGCTGAGAAAAGCTTGGTGTCAAAATATGAACTTAGTCATTATTTTTGCGATATGTATGTATTTACCTCTGATAGGTGACGATGATTAATTTCTAAATTTCTCCATATTTCCTGAATTTCCTGTATAAAATTTATAAATTTGCCAGAATGTCATCTTTTTCACTTCATCACAAATCAAAGGCTTGGGATTGTTCATATAAATGGGATTACAGGTAGCTTGTAATGTAATGACTTGTAATGTATACTGAGTTTACCAAACTATAGTCTTTTTAAATAGGTGAAGTTTCTTAAAACCATATTTCGAGTGAAATATTTCATTCAGCTATAATATTCTTTTTGTAAGGAAAACCAAACTCACTTTCCAAGTTAGAATCCACTTATATAACAGAAGGTATCATATACCCAATCTGTATCAATGAATATGAAAATAATAGTTTAAAATACCATTACAGGGTTAAATAACTCTATCCACATAACTGTTTATATTTTGTTCGGAAAGCTATGCAATGGTAACTAAACTTCACATAAGTATATATGAATAGTTATCAAAATATAATTCAGCGTTCTAACATGTTTTGGCAGTTTTTATGGTCTAGTGTAAAAGCTTTCAAGATTTTTAATATTTTATGATACTATGGTTAGGTCTGGACCAAAGTCATTGTCGGTGTATTTTGCAGTCGAATTAAACTGGTTGGAGGTTAAGTTCTTTGGATAATTTCACAAAATAATAGACTAAAATGTAGAATACTGGTGTAAATATATATATATATATATATATATATAGTCAGAGCCTCTCGTGTAAGAGCAGAATTTCGCACTGTGGTAGAATCGGATTCCACAAGAGGTAAGCTGATTCGATATGCCATAGAGCAATAAAGCACTGATAACTGGGTGATATTTCGAACACAATTTATTACTCATAATCATAACAATGGGACATAATACAATTATGAGCAATGCACTGTGTTTGAAAAGTCACCCAGTTATTATAACTGTATCACTCAATTTAGATCAAATAAAATTCTCTAATATACAATTTCCCATGATTTCAGGCGTTAAAAAGGAGTGGAATATTGTGTTTACAGACGTGAAAGTCAAGTTTTTTCATGCAGTAGTGTTTTTCCTCACATTACCAATGGACTGGATCTAAAAAATATATAAATGATACTAACGACACTTTAAAATAAACGTTCATCTTTTAAGAAAGTAAGACTCTAGCTAGTAGTGCTTCTTTCTGCGTTGTATATATCTCGCAAGCCAGAATTAGTTGAACAAAACAGCAGCTTCAGAAATACGAATACATTCTTTCCGGAAACTAAACATTTGGTCATTGTCGCTGTTATTTGTAAAGCTAAAACAATACCGGCGTATTCAGACTTTGGTACCTATTGTTCAACTCTATGTTTTATATACTCTTAAGCGTACAAGGATACCGAAGAAAACTAGATGTGCGCTAAATTGACTTAGAGTGGGACAAATGAAACTTAATCTTGTTAATAGTTCCATACGCCTACTATCATTTTTTCTAGAAACTCATATTTGATTCTGATAAAGATGAAGACCTGACCAAAGAATATATATTTCTACTTCTCAGAAAATTAAAAGTTAAGTGTGTTTTATTCGCCTTCTAGATTCTGGGTCATAGCTACTCACCGACAAAAACAAAACTGTTAATCAGGGAATGTTTGTCGTAAATTTACTAGAGTGGAACTTCTCAACCATAACAAAAGTGTATATATACTTAAATCGTCAACTTAATAAAAATTGATGAACTATCCTAGTAGACTATAAATGCTAAACATAATGTTTTCCTTTCTTACCTGTAATCAAAATTATTGAAGCAGAACGGATTAAGATTAACTGAAATCTTATTAGAAAAAATTTTAAAGAAGTATACAAGTTGTCCAAAGTATAATTTCAAAATCTCCACATTCCTACTGCTTCACACTAGCAATCAATAGTGCTTAAAAGACGAACAAAGTTATGATGATTAGGACCAAACAGTGGATTGAAGACTCACTTATGCTGCAACTAAAAGTTTACAACACAGTGATTCAGATGTGATGGTATATATTACTGCTTGATATAAGTAGTTGAAGACCACTCATATCATTCTGCAGTATTATTATCCCTCTGGTTCCGAGTGGAACATAGGGCTTCAACAACACATCTCCACTTTGTTCTATTCTCTGCCGTCCTCTTCATCTGGGTCCAAGATTTCCCATAATCTCTCATCTCCCCTGCACACGATTTCACCCACGTCACCCTCGCAGTAACGACCCATTCGTTGCTTCCCATCGGGAATCCATTCGACCGATGACCTGCAGGCCAGGGGAGCAATGTCATTTGACGGCCTTTTCAACGTTTGCTCGATCCATCTGCGCATTTTCTCCTATATGTATGTCGAGCAATCGGCTGTTGGTTGATTTTTTCTTAGCCAGAGTTTCTTGTTATTAATTCTTTGTGACGGGCTATTTGATGTTAATTATGTTGGTAAATTTTTACCTTGAAGAGATTCGATCCATATTTCATCAGCTGTTCTATAACAAGAACCAAATCACAGTCGAATTTCGGTCAAAATTATTTTATTGAGTGATTTTCAATCGCATGTTCTAAAACTCCCTTTTAGTAAACAAAATATTCTACCTAAAATATTTAATACGGGTTAACCATTAAGTGGTACTGAATAAATAAGAATAGATAGTTGCACAGTATAAGGCTAAAACAAGCAGCCTCTTGTCGGCTAACCCCAGTGTATATGTTGTTCACAAGAATTTCGGAATATAAAAGATACCAAATATTTATTTGCTGTAGTCCAATCACACTCATGCTCTGAATGTAAGTCTCGGATGATTTCATAACTTTTGTAAATGGGAGTTCAGTGTTCTGTGGAGTGCTGATTGCATCAAAGTATATTTTTTTCTTCAAAAAGGCTACAACAGTTAGTGGTTAAGGCACTTAAGACATACTCACATTTCCTCTAATAAGTTTTTGAAAGTAAATATTTGAATAGAGTGACATAGACCCATTTTATTTCGTCTCTTCTATCTAGCTTCATGCAAGAAACAATATATGTTATGTTTTTATAATACAATGTATATCATAATTTCATTTTACTTGAAAGAAGTTATCAGTGACTTAGTATTCGAATTTTTTTTAAAGTGGTCCAACTGATAGGTTGTTTTAAGATTTTACACGTATACTTTATTAAAAAGAAATTTCTAATAGCAGAATTTCTGGAGAATTGCAGTATGAACGGTGAGTAGGTCACTGAGGGATTTCTTGGTAGTTGGAAACTAAGTTATCCTGCTGACTGAATGGTGTTAACTGATTTATTCTGAAGGCATAAGTTAGGATTCAAATATAATTTCTACAGAAACCTGAAAACACATTTTATTTGAATTAGTATTGTTCTCTATGATGATTGATTTAGTTGCGGAGCTTTCGTCATCCTTCTAGACAACATCTTCAGTGAACGTTTCAGTATAAAATGAACTTATTTAAATTCCTTTTGGATGATGTGATTGTATCTCCTGGCAACCACTGTCGTGACTGGTTGTTTATTTACGTCTTTATTGATTATTTTTATTGACTTGGAATTCGAACTTTCTTGTCACGTGATTTGCTTTTTATTGGCTGGTAAATTTGGTCTATAACAATGTGTTTGTTAATTACTAATTCACTTGAGTACCAGGATTCTAGGAATTCACTGATGTTTCCTCTACTCAAAACTCCTACATTATCCCAATCAAACTGGTGTCCCTAATTATCCATATGCATGATACGAAAGAATATATATCATGTCTTTTTAAGCCAATTAATGTTCTTGGTTTAGGATTCGAAAGGCACACCCACTCTGATCGATATAATGATTATTGCAGTTCCTACGGTTTATTTTGTGAATGGTATTAATTTTATCTTCTTTTTCTGTTGAATTAAGATTGGTTTGCACAATATAGACCAAATTTACCAGCCAATAAAAAGCAAATCACGTGACAAGAAAGTTCGAATTCCAAGTCAATAAAAATAATCAATAAAGACGTAAATAAACAACCAGTCACAACAGTGGTTGCCAGGAGATACAATCACATCATCCAAAGGGAATTTAAATAAGTTCATTTTATACTGAAACGTTCACTGAAGATGTTGTCTAGAAGGACGACGAAAGCTCCGCAACTGAATCAATCAGCTTAGAGAACACCACTAATTCAATATCATCCACCTCAACTACAAATCTTCCTCATTACACATTTTATTTGTTAGTTATTCTAAATTACTTTAAAATGCCTATGCATTCGGATCCTACGGCTCATCAGGAAATATTAAATAAACCCCAGTTAAGGCTAGCATTTTGTTCTTCGGACACATATGACGTGGTAAATACTGTCGGTTGTAGACACCCACCGGAAA